CTTGACTGAACTTCATTTCTTTGTTTTTTTGTTCTTGTTTTTTTTAGAGATAGGGTCACACTTGGTTGCTCAGGCTGGAGTGCAATGGCACGATTACAGCTCACTATAACCTCGAACTCCAAGGCTCCAGCAATCTTCCTGTGGTTAGGACTACAGGAATGCACCACCATGCCCAGCTAGTTTTTTAAATTTCTTGTGAAGACAGGGCCTTGCTATGTTACCTGGGCTGATCTCAAGCTGTTGGTCTCATGCAGTCTTCCTGCCTCAGCCTCCTAAAGTACTGAGATTATAGGTATAAGCCATAGCCACCTGGCCTTGACTGAACTTTAAATGTGTTCCCTAAACCATACACAGATTAATTAGCAAACTAGGGATTTTTCTCAGGTAATGACAATGTTCCAATACTGCATTTCGGTAATGTTGACAACTCTGTAAATTTACTAAAAATTATCGAAGTATATACTTAAAACAGGTAAATTTTATCATATATATATTATACCTCAAAGTAGTCTTATAAAAAAACTCTATATGAATTTCAACTGTTTATATTAAATATCTTCCAAATGCTATTCGTTTAATCTCTGACTTTTAAAAATGACAAGATTTGAGTCATTCCTCCTCTATAACCAATTTTTTTAACTCCATTCAATTTTAAACAGATTATAAAAATTAATTCTCAGAAGTTTGATTCATTTTTTTTAATCTATATCATCAAGATGACAGTTTTGGTAATGAGTTTCTTTCATTCCCCAATAACCCAATGAGTTGATGTAATCAGGCTAAATGAATGATCTAATGACTGAGACTGCAACACTACAAAGCTGTGATGATTCCAAAGCTCTTAAGTCTGCTGGAGAAATAACAATACCATGTGTCAAATAAAATAATTTATACAGTTTCTGGTATGTACAGTATAAATCATTGTCTAACCCTGGCCCAGTACCCCCTTTTGCATCCTAGGTTTTTAACCCTTTTTGGCCCCCTTCACATGAAGAAAAGGAATTTACATTGCTCTTCAGTGGACTTGCTTTTTCTCCTCACAAAGTTCCAAATACAACACCAGTCTCTTTCCTCATTTCGCAATTAAAGACCTCTTTCAACTCAACTACCCCAAAACATAGAACCTTGACAACTTTTATCTGTTCTCCACAGTGAAATTACCCCTGTAAAGCTAGAGGTCATTAAAAAACTCCCATCCACAGTTTATTTCTCTGTTAATACTGACAGTTTATTTCTCTGACAACAAAGCACATTCCTAATTAGTTGCCCTCTCTCCATTTATGATTCCATTTTCCATTCTCACCAATGGCTTTCATTTGGCGTGGGCTGTAATTGATCCACAAGGGACCTCATGGTAGGTCATGTTCTATCATTACTCCCAGGTAATCTTAAAAAAGATAAAAAATGAGTCTTTCAGGTCTCTCAAGCTGTGGTTTACAGGCTGAACCTTAAAATTATAACTATGCACATAAATATATTTACAAATAGAAAAATAAAAATAAATGCAAAGATTTCATTTAGAATCAGACTTTTGGCTTCAGTTTCATTCTAAGCATCTTCTTTCCCATAGATTTCTTAAATGTTAAATTCTGAGAAATGTAGTTTCAACTGAATATTCATTACATTCATTAAAGTGCATGTAGGTAGTCTTTTACTTTTTTTTTTTTTAATAGAAAAGCCAACTCTTTTTTTTTTTCCCTTAAGACAGGGTCTTACTCTGTTGCCCAGGCTGGAATGCAGTGGCACAATCATAGCTCACTGCAGCCTCAACATCCTGGGCTCAAGCAATCCTCCCATCTAAATCTCCTGAGTAGCTGGGACTACAAGGTGCGAGCCACTATGCCAGGCTAATTTTTAAATTTTTTAAAAAATATAGACAGGGGTCTCACTATGTTGCCCAAGCTGGTATTAAACTCCTGGCCTCAAGGGATCCTCCCACCTCAACCTCCTAAACTGCTGAGATTACAGGTGTGAACTACCACAAAGCCACTTCTTTATCTGGGCTAACAGAGGTCTATTTAACTTAAAAGTTAAATTAGAGTAATTTCAACAAATATCTATTGAACATCTACTACTTAACAGGCCCTGGAATGTTTAGGGACAAATAAGGGAACAGTTTCTCCCTTCAAGGAGTTGATATTGATAGGCTGTTGGGAGAGAATAAAACGTAACTACACAGAATTTAAATTAGATTGGGAAAGTACCCCAAAAAAATTTTTTTAAGGCTATAGCAACAGAGGTGGCAACCGGGAACCACTGGGAAAGGTTTCAAAGAGCTGACTTGCCAAAAAGAAAGTAATGGTTCAACTGGAATGACTAAAAAAGAACGGGGAAGAGACAAATAAGATGAGGTGTGGCTGTGGTACTGGATGAGAGTGTATTTTGGGAGGCCAGGCTGAAGCTTGATTAAGATAACACTATAGCTAATACTTATTGAGCACCTTCTATGTGCCACGTACTATTAATGCACGTTATATATATTAACTTATTTTATCCTCACAATAACCCTATGAGGAATGTGCTATTCTCATTTCATAGGTGGAAACATTGACGTATAGGATGGTTTAAATAGCCTGTTCTTGGTTACACAGACACAACTAAAAGCTATGGCGCTAAAATGTTGAAATCCGTAAAAAAATAGAGGACCAAATTCTGTCCCACTCCAACCACATTTACTGTAAAAGCAACTAAAAGGTATCTTATCTACCTCTTCTCTCACGAATTGCTAGGCCATCCTTCAAGGCCTAGCTTGAAAACCGTATTATCTGCAAAACCTTTCTTGATCCTCCCAGCTGAATATAGTCTCCTAAGTATCATAGCATTTTATGTGTGCCAATCTTATGGGATGTCCGAATATTTCGTTCTTGGCATTACAGATTTTATGTGCATTCTTTCCTTTTTTTTAATTCTTCTTCAGTCTGATCAGCATTCTGTTCTCCACAACTTCGAGGACAGTGCCCGGCACACACTAATGCTAGCTAAGTCTACGGAGCACTTACTCTTTGCAGGGCATTGTGCTCAGCATTTTACAGGAGTTACCTCACAAAATCCTTATGGAAACTCAATTCACACATTCAAGAGCTATTTTTAGCCCTTACTGTGACAGACAAAATAGTAAATACTAGATGCACCTTAAACTCATTAAATGCTAGGGATATAGTCCCTGTCCTCAAGAAGCTCAGTTTAAAGAAGTTGGTTCTAATTTAAATCCCCAGATATGAGAAAAATTGAGGCTCAAAGAAGTAATGTGTGCCCAGAATCACAGAGCAAAAAAGTGGCAGAGAGCCTGGGCAACACAGCGAGACCCTGTCTCTACAAAAAATGTTTAAAAATTTGCGGGGCATGATGGCTTAAGCAGGAGAATCGCTTGAGCCCAGGAGGTCAAGGCTGCAGTGAGCTGAGATTGTGCCACTGCACTTCAGCCTGGCTGACAGAGGGATACTCTCATTTCGAAAAGAAAAGAAGGAAGGGAAAAGAAAAGAAAAAATATTTTTTAAAAAAAATCGAAAAAAAAAAAAAAAAAAAAAGATGTCAGAGCCAGAATTCAAACTAGCTCTCCGGAGTGGATATACAGGACCCCATGCACGAATAACCACTATGTTCTGCAGGAGGCACTTGATAAACCCTTACTGAAGGAAATGTTTTGGAACACCACGAAAACGAAAAAGCACCTCAAGGATAATGAAGGGTTTCAGTCACTGTTTTTCTTTTTCATGAGGGGAAAGCAGGAAATTTGCAGAAGTTAAATAGTACAGAGGTCGGAGGTTGTAAATTGGTCGCCTACTACTCACCTGGTACCTCATCTGTTGAGACTGAGGATGGAGGGTTTCTTTCTTTCCTTTTTCATGAACCACAGAGGAGACTTAAAGGAGGATTTCTTTGCGTCCCTTAAAGTGACTCCCATTGAGCGTGTCCCTCAAACGGGACCTTCCTAAGCATCAACGCTTTGCTGTGCGCTGGGTGGTGCGGCTGAGTCACTAACACTGAAAGTCTGGGCTGTACCTCCTACCAAATAACCAGCGGAGTGGAGTGACAGGTAACGATTCACAGTTCCTTACTTAAACATGGTGCAGTCTTCCTGAAATATGGAGTCAGACCCCAAGAGAACAGGTCTCCAAAAATGTGTGAATCCGTACTTCCCAGTGGACGGGCGAGAAAGTCGCAGTGAAGGACTCTGAGAGACCCTGCAACTCCTCAGGCGTCCCCCTGCCCCGGGGGTCCGGAACAGCTGCAGACAGCCCCGCCTACGTCTCGCCTGCATCCGGGGCTGTTCTGCTCTCCAAAGGCCACGTTGGGAGCCACACAGCGTGGCCTAATCATCTCCTCAAACAAGAGTAGCGACACCCCAAAATGTAGACCAAGCAGAAGGAGGCGTTGGAGGCACTTGTCTTATTCCCCACGATGTTTTGAAACACAGTCTCGCTCTGCCGCCCAGGCTGGAGTGCAGTGGCGCCATCTTGATTCACGGCAACCTTCGCCTCCCGGATTCAAGCGATCCTCCCGCCTCGGCCCTGCTGAGTAGCTGGGACTACAGGTGCGCGCCACCACTCTTGGCTAGTGTGTGTGTTTGTATGTGTGTGTGTGTGTGTGTGAACACAGGTTCTCGCTATGTTGCCTACCTAGCTGGTACCCCAAAATTTTTAGCCCAACAGGAGACTGCCTGCCTTTATACCCCAGGTTCATCAAGTTAAGCAGCGCAGCAGCCCTCTAAAGGCCAGCCACACGCCCAGGGGCTCCTCCGACAGCGCAGACAGACGCCCTGGGCAGCTGGCTCGACTCAGTCCCCGGTCCCCGGCCCGGGGGCACCCGCGCCCCGCGCCCCGCGCCCCGCCTACAGCGCTCAGCAGTTAACCAGGCAACCGCGCGCAGACGCCACCGCCGGGACGCAGAAGGCGGGTTTGGCGCAGGGCGCGCCCCGCCAACCCGCCTATCCGGCCTTCAGCCAATGGCTTGCTGCGCCGGTACCGGGAGCGCTAGGCCTGTTCTTTCCAGGACAGCGCTGTGCGCAGGCGCCTTGACGAGTGGTCCGGGTGACGGGGCGCCTTACGTAGCGGAGGTGGGAGACGGAAATGGAAGGGGCGGGCGCGCTAGACCTCGTCCTGGTTGGGCTCCGGCTGGAGAGCGCGTTGGGGGCGGGCCGGGAGCGGTGGGCTCCGGGGAGGTAGAGGTCGGGGCTCCCACCCGGATTTGGAGCAGGGTCGCCGCAGCCCGGCTGACCCGCCGGCGTTTGTATGTTATGTGCCCACCCAGGGAGCCATGGACAACTGTTTGGCGGCCGCGGCGCTGAACGGGGTGGACCGACGTTCCCTGCAGCGCTCGGCGAGGCTGGCTCTGGAAGTGCTGGAGCGGGCCAAGAGGAGGGCAGTGGACTGGCATGCGCTGGAGCGTCCCAGAGGCTGCGTGGGGGTCCTTGCCCGGGAGGCGCCCCACCTAGAGAGACGGCCGGCAGCCGGCCCACAGCGCTTTCTCCTGGGAGAGGTGAGGGTCGCTGTGCGGGGGACCGCCCCAGTCATTCACACTGCAGTGGCCCCCTGGCAGCCAGGAGCAAGCTCAGCACAAAACACCTGAGGAAACCTCCCCTTAGCGGAAGCTGGAAAGGATCAGGACAATGAATGGAAAAGTCCTTTCAAAACGCTTTACATTTGACAGATTCTTTTTGGGTAGCTGTAGAATAACGGTAGTATTCAGTCCTGCTTGATTACTTTTTTTTTTTTTTTTTTTTTTTTTTGAGACGAAGTCTTGCTCTGTCCCCAGGCTGGAGTGCAGTGGCGCAATCTCGGCTCGCTGCAACCTGCGCCTCCTGGATTCAAGAGATTCTTCTGCCTCAGCCTCCGTGCAGCTGGGACCATAGGCGCGTGCCACCACGCATGGCTAATTTTTGCATTTTTAGTAGAGACGGGGTTTCACCATATTGGCCAGGATGGTCTCGATCTCTTGACCTCGTGATCTGCCCGCCTTGGCCTTCCAAAGTGCTGGGATTACAGGCATGAGCCACCGCGCCCGGCCGATTACTTTTTAAAAAACAAATCTTACAGCTATCTTCTGATAAAAGAGGAAAGCCCGTAAACCTGTCTCTTAGGTCCTGGATAAATTGCATGTCTATCTTTTAGAGTTGGAATCCTTTCTCAGTAACATCCTTCTTTCTGACATAAACTTGCAGAGTCTTTTCATAAGTAAAAACGAGGCTATTCAGAATGGCTTGATTCTCCAGCAGGGAATCCTAGCTCTAACCTGTGACTTGCCATTTATTCAAATAGAGAGAAGAGAGACCCCCAACCCTTAGTGCTTCCTTCAGAACAATGGCTGAATTCATGAACTATACTTCAAGTCAGTGTGGGGTAAGTTGGTGTGAACCAAAGCTATGTCCCATCACCTGCTGATGGACCACACTATGGATCTTTCTGGAATTTGGAAGGAATCTGGAGACTACCTGTTTCACCTGCGCAGCCTCCATGGGCAGATTGTAATCAGTCAAGGACTTAAACCAGGGCGTAAATGCAAGTTAGAATTCACCCAACAAATTTTTATTGAATGCCGAACTCTGCAATTGACAATACAGCAATGAAAAGTCAAAAAAGGTCGTCTCCCCTCAGTGATTTTAAGTCTAGTCGGGGGAAAAATAGCTTATTTGCTGAATTCCATAGCAAGTAAGTTAAATATTAGGGGTTTCTTTGTTTTTTGTTGCTGGTTTTTTTTTTTTGATAGTCTCCATCACGCAGGCTGGAGTGCAGTGGTGCAGTCTCAGCTCACTGCAACCTCTGCCTCCCAGGCTCCAGCAAATTCTCTGCCTCAGCCTCCTGAATAGGTGGGATTACAGGCACCTGCCACCATGCTCACCTAATTTTTATAATTTTAGTAGAGATGGGGTTTCACCATCTTGCCCAGGCTAGTCTTGAACTCCTGACCTGGTGATTCACTTGCTTCCACCTCCCAAAGTGCTGTGATTACAGGCATGAGCCACTGCACCCAGCCTCTACGTCTTCTGTAAGAATCCCTGACTCCATAGGTTTACCAACCAATAAGGAATAGTTCAGGGAATATTTTTATCTTATTTGTATTGTTCAGTGGTTTTAGAAAAATCAATAACTTCAGCTCTACTGTGATTAAACACTTGGTTCACGGTTCAGCAAAAGGAATAATATTTGTCTTTGGTTTGAGGTTTAGCAAATTGCTGTTGTTCATTTTGATTTTCAGTTCATGCATCAGTTCGAGTCTCCATTGTGAAATGGAGCCTCAAAACCCCTTGACTTTCTAGAGATAGAATTAAAAATTGTGTACTGGGTTTGCCTCTGCAGTTTGAAACAGCCACTAAAATACATCTTTAGGTCTGTGTCCTCAAGTGCTTTCCCCAGCTTCTCATTCTTTTGGTCACATGTTTTTTAGACAGTGTCTCTACCCTGTGTTCAAAACAAGCAGGCCTGTGATGGCCTCATCATTAGTCATTATCAAGGGCAAGTCTCAGGCTAACTTCAAGGGGGAGGAGGGAAGCAGATGAGAAATATAACTGTTTTTCCATCCTTTGGAAGAATTCTTCTTAAATTCGAGACTTCTCCCTCCACTCCCCCACATGCTGGAAGCACAGAGAAAAGGGCTGCAGACTTCTTGGGTTTATGTTTCATTTCCTGCTGTGTTTCTAAATCTGAAGAAAATGTATCCCTCTCTTCCCGTGTCCTTGTCTGAGACTTAGACAATAAACATGGAACTGTTCACAGTTTTTTGGAGGGAAGAAATGAAAGGATATTGTATTTGACATGGGGGCAAAGATGTGAAATTTGTTTAACCTGGCAGAGAGCATGGTCCTGCCCACTTTTAGTTGGCCAACGTTCTTGCCTTACAGAGGCAGCAGGTGGCAGCATGGTGATGCCAAATGCACTTCTTTCTCTGCAGCCACTTTGGGTGGGCATGACTTGAGAGGCCTGTCAAGAGGGCAGGTAATTCACCTTTGCTGTCTTACCTCCCTTCTTCCCTGTACTTTGTCCAAATACCAGGGTGTTTTGAAAACTTGACATGACGATTTGGTTACCTAACATCTTTGACATTACTTCTCTAGAAATATTATTCATCTGTGCCAGAGGAAGGAGGGGCAACCCATGTTTATCGTTATCACAGAGGCAAGTCGAAGCTGCACATGTGCTCGGACACAGGGAATGGTCAGGTAAGTGTCCTCAGGTGTCCTGCACTATGCCTTCAGTCTACCAAGATTCAACACCCTATATTCAAGAGCACTTGCTAGACTTTGTGTAAAAGGATACCTGTGCGACTTGGCATTACAGTGCTTAACGGAAATGTATAAATTCATCACTTTAGAGAACTTACAGCAATGAATGTGAAATAGGAGGTTGTCGAAAGTAGAAGATTGATGCCACTGTAGGGTCTTCAGTTGAACCTACAGTCCTGGGCCATGGGATTCTCTGGCAGGTTTAAAGAAAAGAGCTTCTAAGCCTGGAACATGCTGCATGCAATGATCGTCCCTGTGACTATCCTCTGCACTCTATCCTGGGCAACACAGATCCTTTTTCTATTTTTTTTTTTTTTCTTTTTTTTTAGACAGAGTCTTGCTCTGTTGTCAGGCTGGAGTACAGTGGTGTGATCTTAGCTCACTGCAACCTCCACCTCCCAGTTCAAGCGATTCTCCTGCCTCAGGCTCCAAAGTAGCTGGCATTACAGGTATGTGGCATCATGCCTGGCTAATCTTCGTATTTTTCGTAGAGACGGGGTTTCACAGTGTTGGCCAGGATGGTCTCGATCTCTTGACCTCGTGATCCACCTGCCTTAGCCTCCCAAAGCACTCTGATTGCAGGCATGAGCCACTGTGCCTGGCCCCTTTCTCTACTTTTTTTATAAAAGAGCTCCAAATGTCCTCTTCTTTATCTAGGGACAGAATTTTTTTTTTCTTTTTTCTTTTTTTGAGACAGGGTCTTACTCTATTCACCCAGGCTGGAGTGCAGTGGCACAATCACAGCTTACTGCAGCCTTGACTTCCTGGGCTCAGGTGATCCTCCCACCTTAGCCTCCTGAGTAGCTGGGACTACAGGCGCAGGCCAGTACACCCAACTAATTTTTAATGTTTTTAATAGAAATGGGGTTTTGCCATGTTGCCCAGGCTGGGGAGAAGATTTTTTATAATTACATTTTTTACTTAAGGTAAGTGACAACTGTCATAACTTTGGTAATTTTTTTTTTTTTTTTTTTTTTGAGAGGGAGTCTCACTCTGTCACCCAAACTGGAGTGCAATGGTGTGATCATGGCTCATTGCAACCTCTGCCTCCCAGGTCCAGATAATTCTCCTGCCTCAGCCTCCCAGGTAGCTGGAACTATAGGCACACACCACCACTCCTGGCTAATTTTTGTATTTTTAGTAGAGATAAGAGTTTCACCGTGTTGGCCAAGCCAGTCTTGAACTCCTAACTTCAGGTGATCCACCTGCCTTGGCCTCCCAAAGTGCTGGGATTACAGGCGGGAGCCACAGTGCCTGGTCTTTCAGAATTTTTAAAAAGAAAGTAGAAGGGGAATCCAGGTGCCCCCTCCAAAGAAAAAAACAAAAACAGAAAGTAAAAGGAAAGTGTGGGGACAGGGATCTATATTAACAAAATACTTTTTGTAAAAGTATATAACAAAGTCCTCTCACTACAAACTTACCTTTTACCACATGGCATTCTGGGGATGCCAGCAATCGTGCTTACTGAACTGATTCAAAGGAGGAGGTGGTAGCAATGATTTCTGAGGAGACTAGGTTTTTGCTTTTGTTTTAAACTACCCTACTTGTACTCAAAGATAGCAAACTGAAGACCAGAGTCTAATCCAGAGTCTAGGTTGGATTCTTGACTTCTTTGGTCTGTCAGCCATTTTGGGGTATTAGAGGGAGGAAGTTTAGGAAAAGGATGGGAGAGTGGGCACAGGGACATGAGCAAGGGCTGAGCGCACAGTCGGAGCACCTCTGGCATGCCTCCCCTGCCTGCAAAGTGGAGGAGTGGTGCCAGAGCTCGAGTCCTGAGCCTCCTTTTCTGGCCTAGCCTGAACTCTTAAGTACAGCTCACTTTAAAGGGTGATGTGGGGAAGAGTCATTTCCATCTCTCCCTTTAAAACGGGCGCGGTGGCTCAAGCCTGTAATTCCAGCACTTTGGGAGGCCGAGGCGGGTGGATCACGAGGTCAAGAGATCAAGACCATCCTGGTCAACATGGTGAAACCCCGTCTCTACTAAAAATACAAAAAAAATTAGCTGGGCATGGTGGCGCATGCCTGTAATCCCAGCTACGCAGGAGGCTGAGGCAGGAGAATTGCCTGAACCCAGGAGGCGGAGAGCCGAGATCGCGCCATTGCACTCCAGCCTGGGTAACAAGAGCGAAACTTTGTCTCAAAAAAAAAACAAAACGTAAGTTCCCTCTAAGGGAAATTGACTTTGTAAGTCAACCTTTATCAGTCAGGTGGTCCCTTTTAGAACCACCCTCATTCCTAGAAAAAGCACAGAAGAGAATTACTGAGAACCTAAGTGTCAGTCACTTGTGCATTTTAAATCTTCCCTGCAATCCAAGAGTCCCATGTTACAGACTGGAAAACCAAGGCCCAGAGAAGTTAATCTGTCTTAGTGAATAGCAGAGATACGACTTAAACTCAGGTGTGTCTGACTCCAAAGCCTGTGTAAGGATGAAAATTATAGTAAACATCTGACTAAACATACTTCACAGAATTTACTAAAAAATGCCTTAATAGCTTAGATGACAACTTAGAAAAAGCTGACAGAGCAATTACTAATTCCTAATAAGGTAGAAGAAAGCTTCTCTTTATAATCCAAAGGTCAAAGCTTGGGCACAAATCGGTGTACTACTTGTCTTTTCAGAGAAAAGACAGAAGAAAGACTTCCCTTGGTCCTGGAGACATCTATCAAGTGTCAGAGCATGCTCCAGAGGCATCCCAGACTGTGAGTATGGAAGTGCTCAGGCTCTGAGTTTCATCACCGTTATAACTCCATGAGCCAGTTGACATGGTTCTTAGAGGGCTGTCTATAGTATTTTTAAGTTGAGATGTTCTTACACTTAAGAAGGGTGCACAAAAGTTTGGTTCAGTGTAAAATTAGGTTTTCTTGGTATTCTTCCTTCACTTGAAGCTTCAGGGATACTCTTTGTGCCTGAATTCATAGTTGTGGTTGGAAAGAATGTGAAGTATTCACATCTCAGTTCCTACAGCTCAGCTGGGCTGGCACCGGGTCCTGCTGGAATTCCACCATCTGTTCAAGCAGCAGGAGGGTCCTGATCCTCCTGCTAACACAGTGAAAACCATTGCTGAAATTCTGAAACATACACATTTGGTGAGATCAGGTTCCAAAACATTTGAAGGCATTTGTTCTCATTTTCCACAAATGTTTTTCTATAAAAACATATAATTAGTTTTTCTTTTTTAGGATGAAGTACTCATTAGTTCATGAAGCCAGAGGATCTTTTTGGAACTTAGAAGGGCGAGAATTCTGAGGAAAGGAACTTCAGCATGGTGCCACAGTACATTTCTAACTTTTTGTTTGTATACAGTTTGATACTAGTCAGGGATTTGGAGTATTCTGGAGTTAGTAACAAGACTATTCTGCTCCTAGTACAAATGTAAGTTGCTAAGGCTTAGACACCTCTCAACACTTGCTGACATTCCACAGAATAATAGTCACACAGGGCAGTCTTACCTCCCATGTTTCCTTACTGCAGACAAATGAAGCATCCTGGGCTTTCTGCAATTCTGATAAAACCATATTTTCTAAAAACTACTTTTATTTACATGGTTGGCAACCAATAAATAGTTATGACATTGTCGTACACATTTACATCAGTTAAAGGATTATAGACTTCCAATTTCAAAGTAACTAGACAGGCATGAAAGAATACAACATAAAACAGCTTTGGGAAAAATTGGCTTCGAATCCATCTGCAAGGCGAAAAGAGTAGGGAAATTTCGTAAAAATGTAAACATGATCATTTATTCCTCTGAGTGGATTTTGCTGGCCCGTAGTTTGGCTTTTCCTGTGTGTGGTAGTAGAATTGACAGCTTTTGCCTGTGGTCCCTTCTCAGCATTGAGTAAGCATGTAATGGCATCTCAGCTGTCACTCTGGCCCTTAATTACAGGCTCTTTTCTGGTTTGTGACTCTGTCCTTTTGCCATTTGAACTGAGACACATCCTCTGCCTGCACACCTGCTGTGACTTGCCTCCCAGCCATAAGTGAAGTCTACCCTTGGAAGACCGTGCTCAGTTTGGCTCTAAATAAAAATCTTTCCATTAACTCTGGCTTCCAATGTTTTGTACTCTGGGAGAGTTGTGTCATCCAGCTGAATTGATGCTTCAGTAACAAAATGGAATCCACTCATATTGTTCTGAGCTTTAGGATGAAAGAAATGCCTATCATCTTCCTGATAGTGAACTTAGCAAAGCACGGTTTAAAAGAATGGCTCTCATTACGCCTGAGTACCTTGCCATTGCTGCTTATCTGAGTTAAGTGCCACTATCTACTTCTGATCCTCAGGACAGTGGCCTCTAGCCTTTCCCTCTGCATAACTCCAAGTAGAGTGTTCTTTTTATAATCCTTCATGTTCCTGTAACACTTAGCATTTACAAAGCGTTTTCACATGCTTATTTGTCAGGTAGGTATTATCACAGTTCTAGAAATAAGGAAAGGCTGAGACCTCCAAAAATGACAGTGTTGTACTTGAGCAGGCTGAGCCTTGAAAGCAGGACCTCTGTCTCCCACATGAGTGCTTCATTCCATCACACCTCTGCATGCACAGGTAGCCTGGTGGGGTCCATGGTGGCACTGGGATATAAAATCTCTCAACTGCTGATAACCTCTTTTCCTTCCAGGCTGAGAACGTCTCTAAGGACCTCTACATAGAAGTATATCCAGGGACCTATTCTGTCACTGTGGGCTCAAATGACTTAACCAAGAAGACTCATGTGGTAGCAGTTGATTCTGGACAAACTGTGGACCTAGTCTTCCCTGTGTGATGTTGACCATCACCTTTTTTTAAACAGTAAGAATAAAGCCACTGTATGATTCTCTTAATAGCTATACACTAATCCTGTTTTTAGTGCTGACTGGGTCAGCCTTCCCGGGAACTGGAATCTGTGGCTTTCAGTGTGCCTTTCTTGAGGGTGTAGAAGTCCTCCATCCTTGTTTGCCTGACAGTAATCTAATCATGCTGTCTGAAGAGATTTTACTGCTTGCTTTCCAAGTAAAGGTTAATTATGATAATAAAGAGATTTGGAAATGAAGATAATTCAAATTCATTTTTATTGTTATTAAAAGGTAAAACAAAATGTCACTCATGTACAACTGTAGGCTTTATGGAAATTTGGCAGAGTGGCTCTGAACCTATTTGCCCAAACTAGGCTAACGCCCTCTTCCATGGAAGAGGCATCTTAAAGCAGCTTCACCAGGGCCCTGGCAGGAAGCCCCAGGGCAGGGCCCCCACACTCCTGCGCCCACACTCCATAGCAGGTGCCTTTCTGCTGCTCATCTGTGGGGAGGTCTTCATGGGGGGGAGATGCTGCTGGTTATTTGACTATTATCTGTGGCCCATCCTCTGCCTCCTTCCCTTGAAGAAGACCTTAGCCACTCTGTATAACTCTCCTCAAGTATTTACCATCTTTATTCTTTACCTATAAAAGGAGGAAAGAATCCATAGATTGTTATGCTGACTGCAGTTTTAAGAACCAAAAGTCACTGATTTTAAATAGGCATTAATGTGGCCGAGTACAGTGGCTCATAACTGTAATCTCAACATTTTGGGAAGCCAAGGCAGGAGGATCACTTGAGCCCAGTGATCAAGACCAGCCTTGGCAACATGGTGAGACCTTATCTCTACAAAAAGTAAAAAAAATTAGCCAGGTGTGGTAGCATGTGCCAGTAGTCCCAGCCACTCCAGAGACTCGGGTGGGAGGCTCACTTGAGCCTGGGAATTCAAGGCCATAGTGAGCCTTGATTATGCCACTGCATTCCAGCCTGAGTGACAGAGTGAGACCCTGTCTCAAAAAAAAAAAAAAAGTCATTGCTGTGGCCCAAACTTCTTGTAGCTGCCACAGCAGTACTGTGACATCTCCCAGTTTTGCTGCCTGGTGATTATCTCATTTTGAACATAAACCTTTCCTTGGGAAAGGTGCCAGTATTTCATATGATGGAAACAAAGTTTTAAGTAGGGCTGTATTATTCTTAGTGAGGAAGAGACTCCATATTCCTAATATGGGGGCCTAATAAAGGAGGCCCCTACCCAATACCATAGTACAGAGGGTCATTTAAATGGGAATCCTTGTACCACCAAGAAGCCTGTGATTAAATTCATGGGTTCTGTAAGCCTTTGGAAATTACATGCACAATTGAGGGCATGTGCATTCTTCTGTGAAAAGGAACCATAAGTTTTACTGTTCTCAAAGGGGATGTGACCCAAAGGGTCTAAGACTCATGTGAGGAGTCTTTAGGAAGTCGTTTTCAGCCATTCTGCTTTACCTAGATCCTTGGCGCTCTTAGTCTAAGGGGAATTCTTGTTCCACTGACATATTGCAGGGCTCTGACTCCGCCTTCTGTGTTCAACTTTCCCCGGCAGGGTCTGTGGTGGCTTCGTGTTGGTTGCTTTTGAGACCAGCTCCTTGGTAGTCCCCCATACTACGGTTTGTACTCTCTGCTGTTTGCAATCCTTTTCTTCTTTCCAGATGTTGGAATATATTGTTCCTAAATGCAAAAGTCAATTACTTAAGTTGAATATGCCACCATTTTGTTGGGTTAAATAGAACTAAAACAAGGATCACTGAAGTATCTGTCAGTTCACATCATTGTTTTCTTTTCATTGACTTATTATATATTTGAGACAAGGAAATATATATTTGCTGTATCACCCAGACTGGAATGCAGTGGCATGATCACAGCTCACTGCAGTCTCAACTTCCTGGGCTCAAGTCATCCACCCACTCTTCACCACCACCCTAGTAGCCAGGACCACAGGTGCACACCACCATGCTTGGCTAATTTTTTAGTTTTTAAAGAAACAGGCTGTACCCCAGGCTGGTCTTGAACTCCTGGGATCAAGCAACCCTCCAGCCTTAGCCTCCCAAAAAGTGTTGTGTTATCTTAAATTTAATGAAATGTATTAACATTTCTGGCCAATATGGTTTAGGGAAAGATTACCTGATACCCAAGATTTGGAGTTGTGAAGAAGTTATTAGATGTGTTTTTTAAACTGCCAGCAGGGCAAGCAAAGGTAACCAATTGCCACCAGTTAAAGGTGCTTCGACACATTCGCTGATCACTGATAACACAGACCACAAAGAAGACACTACACGCTATGGAAAAACAAGTTTTAGGCCGGGTGTGGTGGCTCACACTTCTAATCCCAGCCCTTTGGGAGGCCGAGGTGGGTAGATCAAGAGGTCAGGAGTTCGAGACCAGCCTGGCCAGCATGGTGAAATCCCATCTCTACCAAAAATACAAAAATTAGCCGGGCACGGTGGCGGGTACCTATAATCCGAGCTACTGGGAGGCTGGGGCAGGAGAATTGCTTGAACCTGGGAGGTGGAGGCTGCAGTGAACCAAGACCATGCCATTGCATTCCAGCCTGGGCAACACAGCAAGACTCTGTCTCATTGAAAAAAAAAAAAAAGAAAGAAAAACAAGTTTTAAGAAATTAAACTGGGTACATTGGTGCACACCTGTAGTCTCAACTATTTGGAAGGCTGAGGCAGGAGGATTGCTCGAGCCCAGGAGTTCGAGGCTACAGTGAGCTATGATTGTGCCATTGCACTCCCGCCTGGGTGAACAGTGAGACCCTGTCTCTAAAAATAAGAAAATAATGGGGCAAAACAGAAATAATGGGAGATGTGACTTCCTGAGGAATAGAATGATCTAAAAGGGAAGGCACGCTTTTAAGTTTCTTTTAAACTTACAGATTGAATCCTGTTTCAGTCACAAGCAAAAGAGGCAGAAAGCACCTCCCTGCCAGCCACTGACAATCTGGCCTTCCTAGGACTGTTAGGATCTAACTGTAACCTCTCACTGCCTGTAACTGCAAGTAATGGAAAGTGTGGAGGGCAGAGAAACCTATGCAAGAGCTTTTGTGAGAGGCAAAGCTCAAGGTTGACTGTTGAGCATTAGCACTCGACAAAATGGATATCAAGTACTGAGAGCAAGAATGGATTAAACATCAAGCATGTTTAGGAGAAGCAAAACAGCACATATTCTTTAAAAGATATAAAACCTGGAGGGGAGAAAAGCAAAGCTCTGGTGTTTGCCTTGTTTCCGCCCTGACCCACACATGGTTTTCTGTGAGCCATGACAGGCAGTTCTGCATGTGTGGGAAGGGCTGGGGACGGCCATGTCTCCACACCTACTCTCGGTCATGTCCTCCATATATTTGGGAAGGTGCTGACGATGATGCTCACGGGTCAGCCCAGGAACTTTCCCTAAAGCACAACACAAGATTCAGTACCTAGCAGGAAAGCCAGGCCAACTACCTGAAGATACTATTTCTCTTCTTTATAGTCAATTATTAGAATTTATTTTGGGGGAGAAGATAACTTTGGAGTGAATCTGTTTAAATGTGGTGCTGGAGAGAGACTGTAGGTGTAAGTGGCTTTGGGCAGTAGCGGTAAGAGCTGTGTAAATGTAGGGCCAGGGGAAATTTGTATTTAATCAGGTTTGGAACCCTTCTAGAGATTGCTATGGAGCAAGCCACAGCAATGGGAACACAGATGCGGTACCTGGGGTATGTCTGGCCCCCACGGCCCCTCGGGTTGTTCCTTTCCCTTGTGCTGGGCTTGGCACTGTCTCAGTTGCTCCCCACGGACCCCTGTCTGTTGGGTAGGTACAGCTTGCTTTCTCCAGGGTCTCCTGGAGCAGGAGGCATTGGGAGCTATGGAGAATTTAGCATGAAAACTCTAGAGTTTGGTATCATTTTCTTTATGCCCTCTCTACAAGTGATAATAAAGAAAGTGGGCCCAGTGTGGGCAGTGCCTACAGATCTAAGCCCTTAGCAGTGGTGTTTCTTCACCTCACAGCCTACCTGCCCTGATACTCCACTGAATATTCAGTGACCCCAGGGACCTCAGAATCTTGTCGAGGAGTTATCCAGGCCACCTCCTTCACACAGCTCTGACCGGCTTCTGCTCTTTCCGGGCTCCTTTGGGAATTTAGAGTGGGCTCCCTGAACCTAGCAGGGCACACCAGGGTTCTCAGCGGGAGGCAATGCGGTGTGGGGCCGGCTGCAGGCTGCCAGCAGCAACAGGACATGGCCGCCCTGTCGGCTGTGAGGGGTGAGCAGCACGTGGCAGTTCCAGGTCCTCCCTGCTCACTTATGGAAGGGCCCAGCAGGAGAGTGGGGCCTCATGACCAGTGCTTAAGACCAGTTTTTATGCCTCAGTGCATCGACTCTCATCAATACCTGGAGGTATTTGGACTGTTCATCTAGAGAAAAACCAAGGCCTCCAAAAAAAAAAAGAGGAGGGGGCTAAAAACAGAAATGGCAGTGCCCTGTTGGTAGCGACTAGTAAAGAAAGAAAAAGGCAGGTTTTTTTTTTTTTTTTTTTTTTTTTTTTGAGACGGAGTTTCGCTCTTGTTACCCAGGCTGGAGTGCAATGGCGCGATCTCGGCTCACCGCAACCTCCGCCTCCTGGGTTCAGGCAATTCTCCTGCCTCAGCCTCCTGAGTAGCTGGGATTAAAGGCACGAGCCACCATGCCCAGCTAGTTTTTCGTATTTTTAGTAGAGACGGGGTTTCACCATGTTGACCAGGATGGTCTCGATCTCTTGACCTCGTGATCCACCCGCCTCGGCCTCCCAAAGTGCTGGGATTACAGGCTTGAGCCACCGCGCCCGGCCAAAAGGCAGGTATTAAATAGGCATGCAACCTTAGCACAAATATCCGTTCATCCTTCTGATTTTTAGGCCTCATAGCTGAAATGGAAACCTGCTATTTCCCTCTTTCCACAGCCTCCTCTTCAGCATGACCAGACTCCCAAGGATTACTTCCAGTCTCAACAGAGTGGACACGTGCATCAGATTCCTAAGGGACATGGAGGGAAGGGAGCCAGGGCCCCAGCCCCTGCCTTAGAAGGCAAGCCCACTCCCCTGGTATACCTGGCTTCCCAGGGTGTGGCTCAGGCCCATTTCTCCTCCAGTACCTCCACCCAGGCTGACAGAGGCCACTCTGCCTCAGAGGTGTCTCAAGAAGGATAGGATCTGTGTTGACTGCACTGTTCACCATCAGTCTCTGGGGAGGGCCCATCTCCAGATCATTCTCCACATCATCTTGTTCATGGGAGGAGGATGAGGAGGAAGAAACAGCCAGAGGAGCGTGCCTTGCTACTTTCTCCTCTTTAGGACCTTCCAGGGGCAAAAGCTGTGCTGTGGGCTCCAGCTCCAACTCTGAAAGTTCTCTGGCTGTGACTTCTGAGGTCCTGGTTAGAGGCCACCAGGTGGTGCCACATGAGGGGCAGCCACAGAGGCAGGCCTGGCACAGCAGCTGGCAGCAGGCCTGAGGGCGGCAGAGAGGGTGCAGGAATGGAGTGCCCGGAGGAAGCTCGCTAGTCAGGCACCCAGTGACTGGCCCCAGCAGAGGGCAGCAAGGGGCCCAGTGGAGGGGCCTGGGGTGCTCCCTGGTGAAAGGCTTGTGCAGCTGCTCCACAGCCTTCTTCCAGATGGCCGGGGACACCCACTGGACCCCACCTAAGGGAACTTTAGCGGTTTTGCCATTCCAGAAATAAACAGTGATTTCTTCTTCCTTTGATGCTATGTAACAGAAAACAGCAACATTTCATTATAGTTATATAATTATCTCTATTTTTTTTCCTGAGACAGGGTCTGGCTCAGGCTGGAGTACAGTGGCACAGTGATGGCCCACTGCAGCCTCAACCTTCCAGGCTCAAGCCGTCCTCCTGCCTCAGCCTCCCAAGTAACTTCCACTTCCTAATTGTGGGATAAAGGCTCTTCCATCTGCACAGGCAAAGGCAGAGTTTTAGGCCCCTCTGCTCTGGCCGCCTGGCTCCTCACATGCACCTCTCCGTGGAGAGCCTGCCAAGAACATCCTTCATCGGCACCGGCACCGGCACCTCCACTTCCCAAGAACTTGCCTGAGCCTACCTGCCTCCTGGACTACCGTGGCCCACAGGGGCTCACTTTTCTTGTTGAAACCAAAATGCATTCTCAGAAGACTCCTGTCATTCTCTGAATTACAATGGTGCTGACTGACCCAGGACTGTCCAGTCCCTGGAGGACCTGAATGGTTGGGTCATGAGTAGCTAAACCATGGTTAGCTAACCAACACACACGTGAGAGTTTTAGGCCATATTCCCTGATTACAAGTTTTTTTTTAATAATCTGAAAGATACAATGTGCATCTTAAGGGATCTGTTGCTGCCTCAAGATTAAGCAGCAGGCAAGCAAGCAAGTTTTCTTAATGCCTTAGAAATCCCTAAGCTGTAGACGTACCCTTGGCTCTCTCCTCTGGCCTGATTATAGCCTGGCTCCTTCTAGGGACTGATGGGTCAGAGCAGCTTTTCTTACCTCTCTGGGGACCTCTCGTCTCCAAGCCCAAAAGAACGGTGCCAGGGCCATACTGCTCTTGGCCGTGCTCCCAGAGTGCCAGCACTGTGTCCCCTGGTCTCAGTGAGTATCCTACAGATGGTGAGAGCGGAATGACATTCTCTTCTAAGACCACACTCAGCTGCTGGGCTGGCAGCTTTGGGCCTGCGACAAGAGGAGCCTCAAATTCCACAAGTAGGGCGCCCTGTCTCTCCAGCTGTGGGAAAGAAAACATTCAATAAGACCTGGCATTACAAAGTACAGAAGGGAACACCCAGGTTCCCTATGATGCCCCCAAATCAGGCCCAGGGGCTGCCTTCCAAACACTGACAGGCACCTAAAGAAGGGACGGGGCAGATGCTGGTTTGAGTCAGTCATAGCTGAGACAGGCAGGCTGTGGTGTGGTCACAGTTTCCTGAATCTCTTCCTGCCATGGGCAACTCTTGTGGATCACTTCCTGCCTCCCCCTTTCCATTCCCTTCCTTTGCTTGGTTTTCTTTCCTTCTACCAAATTTTTGACCTGCAATTGCCAGAATTAACCTGGGTCCTCCCTGGACCTTTTCTCAATGCAATCCCATCCTTCCAGCACCCCTAAGAAGCATCATTCCTGTGTCCAAGACCAAGCAGGGATGGATGGTTTGTCATTCACCTGTGAGGCTCATGTGGGCAAGAAGTGATTGAGGCCACAGAGCCGCCCTCAGCACTGCCCTTAGGGTTAGCTAAGCAAATCAATAGTGAAAGAGAGAGAACAGTACTGGAGCTACTTAAAAGTACAAGCTGTTCCAAGTACTTGGTATGATTTAGAAGAGAAATACAACCTGGTTATAAATTATTTTTATCAAATCACTGGACAGAACCTATATTTGAGCAAAGCTTTGCTAGCATTTCATTTTAATTCACATACTGGTTACTTGAAAATTTGAAAACTGACTTTTTTTGAGAATTTCGCTCTTGTCACCCAGGCTAAAGTGCAATGGTGCAGTCTTGGCTCACCACAACCTCTGCCTCCCAGGTTCAAGTGATTCTCTTGCCTCAGCTTCCTGAGTAGCTGGGATTACAGGTGCGTACCACCACACCCAGCTAATTTTTGTATTTTTAGTAGAGACAGGGTTTCACCACATTGGCCAGGCTGGTCTCAAACTCCTCACCTCGTGGTGGGCCTGTGTCAGCCTCCCAAAGTGCTGTGATTACAGGTGTGAGCTACTGCACCTAGCTGAAAATTGACTTTATTGGAAATTCTGAAACTCGTATTTTTTGAGAATTTACACTAGTCTGCCTGGCCCCCAGCATGGCGCGTGTGCATCTGTGTGCCAGCACACACCTGTGCACATGAGCAAACACATCTCGTCCCTCTTTCACTTAGGCTGGTGTTCATTCAACACACTGAATTTTCTTCAACAAAGTGCTTTTAAAGTGAATTTTCTTTTCTGTTATGCATTGAATGTGTCCCGTTCCCCACCTCCACCCTATTCCCACAGGCTGAAGTGCAGTGGGGCCATCAGTTTGGGGCTCAAGTGATCCTCCTGCCTCAGCCTCCCAAGAAGTTGGGATTACAGCCATGTGCCGCCATGCCTGTCTAAATTTTTGGTAGAGACAGGGTCTCACTATGTTGCCCAGGCTGGTCTCGAAGTCCTGGCCTCAAGTGATCCTCCCATTGCCACCTCTCAAAGTGCTGGGATTACAGGCATGAGCCACCATGCCTAGCCCCCTGCCAAATTCATATGTTGAAGTCATAGCCTCCAGAATGTGACCTTATTTGGGAATAGGGTCATGGGAAATGTAATTAGTTAAGACGAGGACTGAATATGGCAGGTCCCTAATCCAGTGTGGTTGATGTCCTTATAAAGGGGGAACTGTGGGCAGACACACTTAGGGAGAAAGCCCTGTGAAGGGAAAGGCAGAGATCAAAGTGATTCTTCTCTAAGCTGAGGGACACCAAAGCCTGCCAGCAAGCCATGAGAAGCCAGAAGCAGGACATGGGAATGGTTCTTCCTCACAGCTCCCAGAAGGAACCAACTCTGCCAACCCCTAGACCTCTAGCCTCCAGAAATGGGAGATGATAGATGTCTGTGATTTAAGCCACTCCGTTTGTGGCACTTTGCTATGCAGCCCTAGCAAACTAATATACCCACTGGTATTTCATGTTCACTTCTATAGCATGGCATTGGGAGAGCTGTGCTTATCCAAGAAACCAGCCTGTGGGATGCACACAGCTAAGACGTGTCGAGTATGACAGGGCCACCCAGAAGAGCACGCCAGCGAGATGCTGGGGGCCAGGGACTTGCCTCAGGAGCGGCCTTTATTTGAGCCCTGTAGTAAAAGCCGTCTGCTTCCCTTCTTGCCAGGACCCATGTGTTGGCAGCATCTCCAGCTCTTCCCAGCCAGCCAGACCCCTGACATGCTGGATTGGCAATGTGGAGACACGGACAAGAAGAGGCGTAGCTGGAAAAAAGCAATGGAAGTAATGGAGAGCAACAAGCTCTAAACACATCAAGAAACACGTTTCACAGATCTGAGGCGCACCACAGCACACAAGGCAGGTGGAACAGAAATCCACAGGAAAGTGGCAATCTATGACTTCCAGGATAAGGTAAACCTCTGGGAGGGGCAGAAGGAGAGGACAGTGAGGGGAACCATCCTTGGTGGATTGGGAGTTGGTTCAAGACGACCAAAAGGTAATTCGCCTTGACATATTCAAGTTAATTAATACTTGTTCTGACTCTAGACAACAGACTGGAAAAGTGTGGCTCACACCTGTAATCCCAGCACTTTGGGACGCTGATATGGATGGATCACTTGTGCTCAGGAGTTCAAGACCAGTCTTGGCAACATGGTGAAACCCCATCTCTACCAAATACAAAAAATTAGCTGGGTGTGGTAGTGCAAGCCTGTGGTCCCAGCTACTTGGGAGGCTGGGGTAGGAGGATTGCTTGAAGCCTGGGAGGCAGAGGTTGCAGTGAGCTGAGATGGCACTACTGCATTCCAGCCTGAGTGACAGAGACACCCTATCAAACAAAGAAAAGAGTGCCAGGAAAGTAAATCCTAAGGTGGTGCGTGGGATTCCAGGATGAGGCGTGGAATCTTGGGTGGTAATGCCAATGGGGCAAAATTGTAATGCCTCTTGGTGCTGTGGGGTTAGAGGGATGAGGAAGTGTTTGGGGAGGGACAACCCAGAGGAGCTGACTAAGGGGCTGTGGGACAGAAGAACGGGATGCTAGTTCCGGAAAATGTTGTGGTCAGGGCCAGTTGGCCTAGGAGAGTTGTTGAATCAGGGTTTGGGTTTTGGAAGAAGCCGTTTTATTTTACAGGCATGGTTGAATGCAAAGGGGGCCTGTCTGCCTCCTGCTGCCATCAACAGGCCGTCACAGCACCCCGGCCATTGGTGCCAAGGAGCCACTGCAGGCCCATGCTGAGCTGCCTTCAGCCCCCCTCAGCTTCCTTCCTGTGCTTGTTGGCATCTAAAGTCCAGTGCTTAACTCTGGCCTTGAACAGGATGGTCCACCAGGTGAATCACGAAAGAGACCCATTAAGGGTCATTCAAGCTGGCACGTCCCTCACATGGACAGAATGCATCAGGCAGATCAAGGCGCACCCTGGAGCTTGCACACTCCACAGGTGCGTATAGGCTGCGGTGCCTTTGCCCTCTTGTATCCACCTTTAGTAAGTGGACTGAGGATCCCATTCAGGAAAATCCTAGACAAAGGAGGGATACTGAGGGAACCTGAAGAAGGGCCTGGAGATTCCTCCTTAGCTGATTTCTCATAAGGTGCCAGAGCAGCTCTCATTGGTTTTTTTTGTTTGAGACAGAATCTAGCTCTGTTGCCTAAGCTCGAGTACAGGGCATGATCTCAGTCCACTGCAACCTCAATCTCCACCTCTCGAGTTCAAGCAGTTCTCCTGCCTCAGCCTCCCAAGTAGCTGTGAATACAGGCATGCACCACCATGCCTAGCTAATTTTTTTGTATTTTTAGTAGACGGGGTTTTGCCATTGTTAGTCAGACTGGTCTCAAACTCCTGACCTCAAGTGATCTGCTTGCTTCGGGCTCCCAAAGTGCTGGATTTACAGGCGTGAGCCACTGAGCCCAGCCAAGTCTTATTGTTGATGGTAAAATGAGCTATAACCTTGGTAACTGGCCATCCCTAACTGCCTTCTCTCACTCGTGCCAACTGCAGCCTCTGCAGCTCTTCTCCAAGTGGGACAAAATCCAGGTCAACTCTGGAGGGTTCTGGGAGCACCTAGGAGGCTGGAGTGATAGACCCCATGCAGATAGGGCAATCATAGGCCAAACAGTGAAGACCCCTTTCTGCCTTCTCAGGAAGCAAGTCTTTCCACCAAGGTTTACCACCAACAGCCAGGAATGAAGGAAAAAGGGGCACCTGCTTCCCCTAAGGGAGCAGAGACAGGTACCTTGCAAGGGGCTTGTGCCCGGTGAGCCAGGGCGCTTGGAGGGCAACGGGGTAAGTGAAGGAGAGGTCCCAGGGTGGAGCAGCACTGTCCCAGCCAGGGGCCTTGAGGCTTGTGGCCACGCTGCAGTATTTGAGCAAAGGCATCCTGGATCCCGTGGAGGATTCCATGACCTTCAGAGGATCCACCTGAGAACAGGCACCACCATTACCTCAGCTGCACCTCAAAGCCAGCGGCAGCCGCCTGGGCAAGGCAGGGCTCAGCTCTGCGGTTAGCTGCCTCTGTGGACAGCTGAGTCTATGCATGGCCCCACCTGCTCCCCCAAACTCTCATAGTTTCCTCTTTGAGTCACCTGCCTTGGCAACCCCCACTCAGGAAACAGGGAAGGGATTGTAAGAGCAAGAGCTGTGAGTTGAGAGCAGCCCAGCTTCAAATCCTCCTTCATAACCTGCTGGCAGCGTGCTCACTTAACCTCTGCCCTCCAGTTAACGCAGGATAGAATACATAGAAAGCACCTGGTGCATTCAGCAGCTCGACTTCTATTCGTGTTATCCTCCCTCCTCCTCCCGGGCCACCTGCAAGGCTCATTCTGGCCCCAGGTGAGCTGCGATCTCAGGGCCGCCCACCCCCTTTGTAGCCACGTTCAGAGGAGACAGCTGCTACCCGGGGCCCACGATCAAGCCGCACTGCTGCAGCCTGCCAGAGCCTGGTGAGGGTCTGCCCCTGCCCACGCCACAGGTCTGACCCCCAAAAGGACTTACCCACAGCCCCAAACGCCCAACCTCTACCTTAGCCTCAGGCACCTTCTGATAGTTGGAGCTCAGGGCCTCAGCCCAACCGACCAACTCCTGGTTGCCACGCCGGTTGCCATGGAGGCAGCCTGAGGACGCTGTCGTCTGTGGCCAGTGAGTGCACTGAGCATGTGGAGAGGGGGGCAGGAGGCCTTGGGAGGCAGGTGGGGGGACAGACAGGAGGGGGTGTTCTCCAGGTTTCCTTTTAAAGAGGAGGAGAAGGAAGAGGGAGAGAGAAAGGCCAGCGTGGCCTCAGTTCTCCAAAGCGCCGTGTGCCCACTGCTAGAAGAGTCAGTGGTGGTGGGAAGCCCTCGTAGATCCAGGGGACTCCTGTGTGGGAGGAGCCACCCCTGCAGAAACTTAGGGCCTCCTCCCTGTACTCACTAAAGGTGGGGGTGGGGGAGCCACTGGCAGCCTGGGGACTCTAGAATTTGTCCCTCGTCTAAACCAAAATAATCAAATGTGTAGGCCCTGTTTATCTGTAACAGGCAGGACTCCGTTGAGCTGAGGTGTTGGGACCATTTGGAGTGAGAGGTGGGGACACTGGTGGCAAAGGAACAGAAGTCCAGACTCTGCTCATGGGAGGGGCTGGGACTTGGAGGCCTCTGATAAGTCATTGTGCACTGATTATGTGCCTACGATGCAGGCATGTTTGGAGGTGTCGCCCCCATATCCATTTCTGCCTTCTTCCAGGTCCTGTTTGGGTTGGCAGGGCCATGTGGATAGGAAGGCTGGGGCCAGCTCCAGGGGTAGAGTGGGTGACAGCCACCCCTTCCATCCCCATCCGGCCCCAGCGGTTGGTTAGACAGGGGTGTGTTCCTGGTGTTCCTGAACCCCTCCAATTAGCAGGAATCTGGAGACTTTGGTTGGGAATCCTGGGATAAAGGCTTTCTCTTCCTATACCCGAACAAGAAAGCTGATTGTTCTCAGAGCCTCTGACAGGCTTTTAGGGACACTGAAGCAATTCCCAGAGAAAGTCAGAGAGGATAGACCTCAGAAAATTGTTTGTTTTGAGACAGGGTTGCCCAGGCTGGCCTCAAACTCCTGGGCTCAAGGGATCCTTTTGCCTCAGTCTCCCGAGGTGCTCAGATCACAGACATGCGCCACCAGGCCCAGCTGAAAATAGATTCTCAGTGACAGTTTTGAGTCTTGCCTGCAGGCAGTGCTGCTGCGCTAGGCCTCAGCTATGCGAGCCAGTAATTCCCCTTATTGATTATGCCACTCTGGATTGGGCTTTTCCTTACTTGCAACTGAAAGCCTCTCAACTGATCACTGCCCTCCCGGAGCATAATTTCATAGTCGGGAGAATGACTGCTGCCCAGGACCGTATACTGAGGCTGAGTTATTTGGCACACAAAGTTAGAGTTTAAGAAAGACCCACAAAGTCTCTGCTGTGAGAGAAGGATTCTTGAATGAGACAGTGGGATTTCAGTGGAGGAGGGAAAAAGAATATTCTAGTATAGGTAGGAAGCAAGAGAGAAGAGAAAAGGATACAGTTGCAAGACTGATTTTCTGTTTGGGGAAATGGGTTCAGTACGTGCAAAATCACGTAAAGCAGACGCGCATCAGGGTTTGGATGTGAGAGTAATTCTGGTGACAGATACAAAGGATCATCGCTAACTCCATCAGACGTTAGCGTACGTATAGGAAAAGGCCAAAACTCAGGCCATTTATCTTTTTTTTAAATTTTACTTTAGGTGTATACTATATCCAGCATTTCTCCCCATGTTATCCCTCCCCACCCTGCCCCCACCTCTCTGTCCCTCCCCTACCGCCCCCAACTGCCCCCAGTGTGTGATGCTCCCCTCCCTGAGTCCACGTGTTCTCATTGTTCAACATCCACCTATGCGTGAGAACATTCGGTGCTTGGCTTTCTGTTTTTGTCAGTTTGCTGAGAATGATGGCTTCCAGATTCATCCAAGTCCCTACAAAGGACAAGAACTCATCATTTTTTATGGCTGTGTAGTATTCCATGTTCTTTTAAGGAATTTAGCAACTCAGGAGACAGGGGTGGAGGAGGGAGAGGGGCGTGTACTCTGTCCTGTTGTGTCTGCAAAGCATCTTTCCTGAGAGTGAAATAGCTGCCTGAGGTAAGAGTCAGGGGCTTTGTGAAACGTTGCTGGCAAACAGATGAGAAAACGTGGCTTCTTATGTTTGCTGCTTTGTTTTGCAGTAGGGAGCTTTGAAAACTAAGCTGATAAATTTAAACAAGATGGCATTCAGAAGTCATCAGGCAGCTTAAGCGACAAAGTGACATGAAATACTTTCAGAGAGAATGAGGGTGGAGCTTGTTGAGAACACAGCCCAGGAGGACAGACGGGAGACTGCTACCAATGACCCAGACACAGGTGATGGGACTGGAGTAAGAAAATAGTAACAGATAATCACCGGCACCTTCCTGATTCAAGGCGCTTTGCTGGGTACTAGGAATATAAGATAAGGCTGAATGAATCATCTTCAAGGAGCTTGCAGTCTACTGAAGAAGACAGAGACAGGTGTGTAAAGTGTCTAAAGATAGTGGGATAGCAGCCACAAGAGAAGTATTTATACGAAATAAAGGAACAAGTAACAGCTGGGATAGAAAGTTGGTGAAGACTTCATAGAAGCATAGCAATGGAGGTGAGTGTGATAGACAGTGTGTGATAGGTTCTTTTTTTTTTTTTTTTTTGGAGACGGAGTTTCGCTCTTGTTACCCAGAATGGAGTGCAATGGCGCGATCTCGGCTCACTGCAACCTCCGCCTCCTGGGCTCAAGCAATTCTCCTGCCTCAGCCTCCTTACAGTGTGTGATAGGTTCTTGACTAGGCCTGGAGACACATGGGATCTGGGAGTTAAAGGAGAAGAAAGAGCTGAAGCTGGCCATGGAAGCAGAAATAGACACATTTTGAAAGCAGACTCCAACATACCAGGCAGGGACTATCCTTCCTGGGTATGAAGGAAAGGCCTGGCAGCTCCAGCTTTTCTCACTTAGAGAACCTGGGAATGGTGATATTATAGACAAGACAAGATAATGATAATAATCAGTACTGATGACCAAGCACAGTGGCTCACACCTGTAATCCCAACACCTTAGGAGGTAGGGGTGGGAGGATCGTTTGAGGCTAGAAGTTCAAGACCAGCCTGGGCAACATAGCAAGACCGCATCTCTAAATAAATGTTTTTAATGATTATGAATACTTACTATATGTCAGGTTCTGTTCATCATCATCATAAACACATGGGAATTGCTGTTATTCTCATTTTGTGGAGCAGAACCGAGACATAGAGAAGAGGCAGCAGAGTTATACTGCAAATGCAGGCCTGCCTTCTTAAACCTTATACTAAGCTGCCTGAGGAAGTCTACGTGCAGGAAAGTGATGCACCTGAAATAATTTCAAATAACAAGGTTTTGTAAACTACTTTTGCATTAGCCCCAAGACACTTTCCCAGGATGGTGACTTCTTGTCAATCCCCAGTAAATAAAAATCTCCAGGGGCTCCAGGCTGACTCCTTCCTGGTGGGAAAGGAAGATGCCTGTCCTCTCCATGGAGGACCCTGGGCCGTCACTGCGGGCAGCAGTTTGGGTTTGGGCTGTGTTCTTGCTGGTAAGAAAAGTGTTGTCCACAAAAATAAGATGCAGAACACACTCTTTAAAAAAAATCTCCAAATGTTGACAAATGAAGGGAGGTTCATTGTGATTGCTCAGCATGGAGCTACAGTGAGGAGATGACCAGCACACACCTTAAAGGCTTCCACAAAAGCTTCTCATGCCTGAGTCCCTGGTCAAGAGTGTGAGATGGGCAGGGTGAGACATGCAGAGAGTCTGGGGCCCCCTGCTCCCCTAGAGTTCATGAAAGACGTAAAGCAGCTCCTCAATCTACATGAGATCATGTTTAGTACAATTGAGTAATACCCAGCATAGGTTAGCATTTGAGCTATTTCCTGCCCACACAGAAATTACATTCAGGAAAAACTATCAAACGATGCTGTAGGAGACCCCATTTTGTGATATTATTCATTTCTATTTGGAAACACTGACTCAAACAATTCTGAACATAGAGTCGGCATGGCGGCTGGTGGTTGCTATCGTGGAGGAACATTTTCCAGGGTCATTCTTGGTGTCGGCTTTATCAGGGTACAGAAGAGACTGCAGGTAGTTAATGTACTTGATTGCAGCTCTGAGGGTTTCCACTTTGCTGAGTCGTTTCTCCAAATACTCCTCTGGCAGATGATGGCGGAGCTGGGCGTAGCCTTCATTGACACATTTCACCCGCTGCCTTTCCCGCTCGTTCCTTTTCCGGATGAAGGCCGGTCCATAGGAGTACTCACACCTTCTGTAATTTGGATAAGGCATCGGGAAAGAGAAGGGGCAGGTTTCACCATAATTTCCCATGATGAGGGAGTCACTGGGAAAAGGCAGCAGTGGCAGCTCCTCAGAATAAGGGGATGGCACCGGGGCCTCCGGGTGCAGGTGGAAAGTGATCGTGGGCTCCAGATAGAAAGACCTGGTCATTGGCAAGCAGGCAGAATTGGAGAAGATGGGAAGTTTGTCAGGCAGACTAGAGTTGCTTCTGTTGTCCATCATTTCCTCTTTAACCTGCAAACATAACCAAGTGTATCAATTTGGTCAGATTGAAAGAGCAGATAATGATCTACTTTCTTGGAGATCAATGTTTCAAAGACTTTTCTGCTTTGATGACTAATTTCTGGGCTCATGTGGACAAGAAGATGCTGTTATAATATGCTGTGTGTAGTAAGGATTTTTGATGGTACATAGAAACAGCACTAAATACCATTGAATCACCTTGTGAGAAAGTTATTCTCCTTCAATTCTCTTTCAATCCTTGTGGTTACAAAGATACAACCTTAGTCTGCTGACAATGTGTCTTCCATACCACACCACTAGAATTCTTTTTATTTTCTTCTCTTTCTTTCCTTTATTTTGAGACAGGCAGGGTCTGGCTCTGTGGCCCAGACTGGAGTACAGTGGTGCGATCATGGCTCACTGGAGCCTCAACTTCCCAGGTTCAAGCAATCCTCCTGCCTCAGCCTCCCAAGTAGCTGGGACCATAGGCAGGC